ACTTGAAAAGTTCTATTACTTGGATTTCGTGTATAGAGATGGCGCCAGTGGTAGAGCTTTTGTCAAAAAGTCAAATGTAAGTAGGAGTTGAGGTGAGGTCGATGAAAATTCTACTAAGCTATATATATTCGGCATCGAAATATTCTTTAATTTAATAGCAGAAGTACTCGCAAAAGATTTTTCACACTATCATGATGAACTCATTTGTACGACATTTGAAATTATTCTATTTTCTAACAAAACACTATAAAAAATATGTCTGACGTTAATTTTGCCATAAAAATTATTTTTGAAACACTTTTCATAACTAAAGTCACAAAAAATTTGTATTTTTGTATGGGAGCCATGTCTCTATGCTATTAAGGCGTGAAACTTTTAACAGGTTATTTTTTTCACAAAAATTATATATTTATATGTATCTAAATTGGGAAAATATATGTCCAAAATGGGCAAATACATGACCAAAATTGATGAGATGCGCAATCAAAACTGGGAAAGCGTTTAAACTATTGCTTTCAGCAAAAGTAACATGAATAATTGCTTGGCAAAACAAATTGGTAACAAATTCTTATCTCTTTATATCCCCAATAATTTTTAGACACAGTCGTTTGCAATATTTTACACCACTCTAACAGCGTCGTACAGTTAATTTTTGTGACACGTTTGAACGTAACCAGGTCGAATTTCGGAGATTATCACATTTCAAATATTATATATTATAAATAATATTATTTTACGCATGAAAATAAAAAACGAATAGACAACACACAAAAAATCATCATTCTACGTTAATACTCTCAACGCATTTGGATCTCGCCAAAAAAATTAACGCCAAAATAATTTACATTTGAATATCTTACGTTTGTTCATGAAAATTCTTATCAATTTGAGGTATTTTTTTTGTTTTATTAAGTCAAGCGGCAGCTTAGAAGGTATCATTTCTCCAGAAAATGCTATAAAACCATTTTATTTTGATGGAAAGACACAGTTTATTCTAAGCAACTAACTAAATACAATGAAATTCTTCGAAACCTTATTCGTGCTTGTGGTTGTTCTATACGTTGTAAGTACATCCATTTTATTTTTAAAGCTATTTGTTCAAATTTCGTAATTGTTCAATATCATTTTCATAATTTTATTGTCTTTTTCGATTTTCTTCCTAAAAATAAGACGCCCACGTATGAGGCAGTCAAACCAACTAAATCGCCAGAAATTCAAAAAGTATTTGCCAATTCAAATGCGTGCAAACTTGAACCAAAACTGATGTCAAGCATCACAACCTCGGGAAACCAGTTGAAATCGCAAATTTCCAATTTCCAAAATAAATTTATCGGTTTGGATGAAGAAACTCAAACCAAAATAACTGACGTCAAAAACACTGTATTGCTATTATCTGCGATATCAAAGGATTTTGCAGCAATAAATTCCAAAATGCATAAATGTTGCAACACTTTTCGATTTGCACAAAACACATTTGGTCGCACTAGTGCAACAAAATTGAAAAAAATCGCCAAAGAGCATCCGGAATACTTGAAAATGATGAACGACACGATACTTAAGTCGGAAAAGAAAGTTCACGAATCGCTGCCCAATATAAACGACTTGGGATCGCGCATACGAGAGACAACCAGTACGTTGGTAAAAGAACAGAGAATTGCAAAACTTAAGAAGATCCTAAATAGTGTGAAAATTGCAAGTAAATCGAAGAAAAGCGATTTGATTGAAAAGAGTCTAGTACCAGCTTTGGACGAGTTTTTGCAACAGTACAAGGAAACTATCACAACGTTTCAAAAAGATGCGAATAATGTGAAAGACATTAAGTGTCCAGACACTATGAGTTTTGTTGATGGTCTTAAGAAAGCGCTAACAGGTGAAGTTGTACACGAGGAAAAACCAAGCGTGAAAATTCCAGAGGAAGAGATACACACTGGTGATGAACACCATGAAGAGACACCAGAGGCTGAAGATCATTATACGTCGGAGACAGTGTCGCATGAAAATCCTAGTGATGAACATTTGGATGACGATAGATCTACATCCGATGATCATGATGAGAAGCCGAGTGAAGACAAATCTGATGAAATGTTTGATGACGACAAACATTCACCAGAAGCAAGCGCTGTCGATGATGATAAACATTCGGATAAAGATATGGCTGAGGATCATGATGTGCATGACGAAATTCACTCGTCTGATGAAAACAAACATGATGAAAACCATCACGATGAATTATCAGCCGAGGAAGAACCATTCGTGGAACAAGATACGTCTGATGAAGACAAAGAACCATCCGAAGAAGAAAAATCTGACCATAACCATCATAATCTGGACGAAGCCAATGAGGAGAAACCAGATGAAGTTAACGAAGAAAAGCCGGATGAAGAATACTAAGCAAATAAAAGCGCGTCTGTTTGTTTTACAAACCAAATTACATATTAAACAACTTTTTATTGAAACAGTTTTCATTTTAAAATCAATAGCAATTGAATAAAAGAGTCTTGGTCATCGTGTCAAGTACTGCATTTCAATCAATTTAACTGAGTTTTGACAATCATTGCTAAAAAGGTTTCTAAAGAAAGAACGTACGAATTTATTTGGTATATTTTCTTCTCTGAATCTTTTGTAAACGTCGAAAAAGGTCTGTTTTTGAACTTTTTTTAAAATTTGCAATGAACTTTAAATAAGCAGAAATGTGGCAAGTGTTTCGAGAGATATTCCAAAAAAAATTCTTCATTTCACAAGTTCATATGAAAATTTCCAATAAAATAATAATGAGAACGCTCTTTTAAACTAAAAATGTTCCGATTGGTTGGAAATTTTTTCGAAATGTTTAATTAAATCGCGCATCTGTTTTTGGTGACGAAAAACTACAAATATAAAGCACTTAACATAATCAAAAGTTACAGTTTGTTTCAAGCTATTAATAACCATGCAGCTTTTTATTCAAACACTATTTGTGCTCTTACTTGTTTTATACTTTGTAAGTAGATTGTAACAAAGAACTATGAAACTATACACATATTTTCTCATCCATTGTTGGGAAATTTTGTTCAATTAGATTTATTAATTTTCATTCATTGAATATCTTCCGAATGTAGATTCCATCGCATGAAGCAGCAAAAGCACCGAAAATTCAAGGAATTTTCGCCAGCAAAAATGCATGTAAACTTGATCCCAGAATAATTACCAGCATTTCGAATGCGGGAAAAAGTTAAATCCTGACCTATCGCATTTTTCTATTAAATTACAACTTTTGGACGAAGTTACCCAGACTAAATTCAACGATGTTAAATCTAGTTTGAAGCTATTGCCCTTGATAGCAAAAGATTTTGTGGGAGCCACAAATAAAAAGCAGAAATGTTGTAACACTTTTCGAAATGCACAAAATAACTTTGTGGTCAATCGAAGTACAACGGCAACGTTAAAGAAGGTCGCCAAAGAGCATTCGGACTATTTGAAAACTTTGAACGATACGGTAGTTAAAGCAGAAAGGAACGTTCAAGAAGCTTTCACTGGCATTGAAGATTTGGGAGCACGAATACGAGATACATTGAGTAATTTCGTGAAAGAGCATACAATTACGAAAATTATTCAAAATTTAAATACTGTGAAGAAAACAAATAAAGCGAATAAAAATTAAATAATTCAAAGCACCCTTATACCAGCACTGGATGAGTTTGTGAAACAACATAAGGAGGTCATTTCGAATTTGCAAGAAGATATTCAGAAGGTCAAAGTCATTCAGTGTCCAGCCACTACGAGTTTTATTGAGAGTCTTAAGAAAGCGCTTGCAGGACAAGAGGAAGAATCGAAAGAGCAAAAGGCAAACGAAGCAATATCGGATGATAAGAAATCTGCAGATGAAAAACCAAGCGAAGGGAAATCTAAGGAAGAGAAACCTAGTGAACAAGGTTCAGATGAGGCTGAAAAATCAAAGCCAGAAAGTGGAAAAATTAACATCGATGTAAAATCAGGCGATGAAAAATCTGGTGATAAAACAGGTCAGGAAATGTCATCAGGTGAAAAATCTGGCGAGGACAAGCCCCTGAACGATGAAAAATCTGGGGAGAAAAATCCGGACGAAAGCAAACTCTCAAGCGAAAATAAGTCTTGTGGGGAAAATTCAGAAGAAAGCAAGACTTCAAATGATGAAACAGAAAACAAGCCAATAAGCGATGAAGAATCTAGCGAGAAAAATTCAGACGAAAGCAAACTTTCCAGTGATGAAAAATCTGCCGAGAAAAATCCAGACGAAAGCAAACTCACAAGCGATGAAAAGTCGGAAGAAAACAAGCCCCTAAGCGATGGAAAATCTAGGGAGAAAAAACCAGAAGAAAGCATGTCTCCAACCGATGAAAAATCTGTAACAAGTGACGAAAAGTCTAACGAGGAAGAAAACAAGCTCCCAAAAGTCAGACGAAAGCAAGCCCTCAAACGACGAAAAATCCAGTGGGGAAAGGCATAAAGACGAGAAGGCAATAGAGAATGCCGAGAAAACTATGCCTGGTGTTGATAATGATGCGGCTAAAGAGAAAACAAACGGCGAAAATTCAATTGTTGCAAATCAGCCAGAAAATCAAACTGAGTCTGATGACAAAACCGCGTTCAATGAATTTAAAAATGCATCCAATGACGGACCGGTTGAAGATAGAACTTCTTCAAAGAAAAATCCGACCACAGATGACAGCGCATCTAAGAAAAAGGTAGACGAAGAAAACAACGAATCGGATGAAAAATTCTGCAAAGCGTTAAAGCAAGATTGAACATCATTATTCACTCTATTCCATCGCTTTCTTTTCAAAATGCTTTTCAAAAGTTCTATCGAAACAAAAACAATTGTCCTCTGTTTACTTTATTCAAAAGAGTTGTTTTGGCTTTCTTCAACAAAACAGCCGAGTCATTTGCATGATATTAATATGGAGATCCTTAAATCGATCACACAATTTAATATCACACGCCTTTCGGCATAAAAATCATTTCAATTTGTAAGTGTAATTTTGGTACAGCCTGAAAATAGATTATAATGACATCTCAACTATTAAAGCGATTCCATACACATTGGGCATCGATTCTTATTTTGTTGTCCCAATCTTTCTTAACAAACTGTTTGTTTATTTCATATGAAATATTTTTATTAACAAAAAACCTCAATTTGGCATACAATGATTTTTGGATAGAATAGATCCGTAAGATCTCCGCAAGATCCGGATCCAAGCGTGCGTACGTAGCCGCATGATACATACATTCCTTACTCCGTAATGCTATGGCATGCGAATCAAAGAAGGGGAAATAAGAATAACGAATTTGCGTGCGTATTATATATGTATGCATCATGCGGCAGCGTACGCACGCTTGGATCTGGATCTTGCGGAGATCTTTCGCATCTATCCTATCTAAAAATCATTGTATGCAATTTGGAAATCGTTTTCATATGAATTTGGTGAATAAAATTGTTATTAGAAAAAAATATTTCGGATACAAAATTATTCGAATTCAATGTTTCCCAAATATGTGAGGAATGACATTGCATAAATATTGGCATTTGCATAATAGCGAAATTTGATTCGTCTTAATTTCGAAATTCTTCAAAAAATTTATTTGCAAAAAACTTTTATTTATTTGTCTCCTAGGGGACATTCATACTAGAAAAACTAGTGAAACTAGCAGCAACTAGCAGCGACTAGCAAGCACTAGCGTATTATAGTCCAAAGCAAATGAATTGAGGCATGTAAAATATATTGTAGCATGCGTAAGTCGCTTGCAAACGAACCAAGTGAATAGCGGAGACGCACGAAAACGAAGTGAGTGAATAGCGACAACGAACGTTGTTATCCGTTGCCGCAATACACTCACTTCGTTATCGAGCGTCTCCGCTATTCACTTGGTTCGTTTACAAGCGACTTAAGCATTACTGTTGTTTCTTTTATGTATCATACGATACGTCTAGGTAATTTCAAAACACTAGAAAAACTAGCAGCTACTAGCAGCACTAGTGTACTCACTAGTAATACTAGTAAGCGATTAGCGAATACGTAAATAAAACTAGCTTACTAGAATTGCTACGAATGTCCCCTAGTTTGTCTCAATTTTTTTTTTTTTTTTTTGAATTTGTTCTCCCATCGAATTTATTGTTTTTAATAGGCGCAAACTTCATTTCGATACACCGAAATACCAACATCCAAATACCAAAGTTGACGTTGCTGCAATATTATTACCAACATATAAATCACTTGACTATTTGTTATTTGAAATGTCTAACAAAATCCAATTATTTTCCGTCGAAATAATTGAATCACCATGTTTTTCGTGTTAAAATTGGATTCTTTGGGAAAAGTTGTTCTATTTCGTTGTTTGATTTTGATCAAAACATTTTTGGACTAAAAACCAGTTTTTGTCATTAATTCCAAGAAAATCCTCTCTATCGCTAGTATCATTATGTTTCCATCGAAATGTATGTGTCATTGTTCGAAAAAATTGTATTGTTTATGAAAACATTCCATACCATCATGCATGTTGTATGGCAATAGACACCTCGTGTATAATTTGTATAATATTTTAACATTTGCAATTGATTCAATACGTGCCCAATACAAATTATTGATGAAAACATTTTGCTGGTGCCAATTTTGAATTAAGTTTTTAAGTTTTGTTTATAAAAATTATTTTGATTTACAATATTTAAATGATCATTGGAAGTACCTTTTGTGTTCTTTTGTATCGTTGTTGCTATCCGGTACGACGTTTAAATTATTCTCGGCACAATATTTCTATAATTAAAGTATTATACAAAATCAATCAGTCTAAAACTAATTGATTTCAATATTAGTTTACAGGTCGTCATGGACTCCAATTTAGATCCAGGTGAAGGTACTTCAGATGGTAGAGTTAAGCGAAAGCCAAAGCCAAAACCAAGTATTCCAAAGATCACAATCAAAAAAGAAGTCGATATCAAAGTTGAGCCAGAAGACGAAGACGGCACTGCAATGGTTCAATACTCACCACCACCATCGGCAGTCGAAGCGAGCGCCATAATCAAGTCAGAGAGTGAAAGCGGTGAAGAACTATGGGTGAAGAAAGAGGTAAAGTGCGAAGACGACATATGCCAGAAGAAATGCGACCCAGTGAAGGATAAGAACAAACATGGAAAAAATAAAGAAATGCGTGAAACTTTCACGGTGAAAGTACATCAAAAGAGAAGAAGAAAAGGGGTGCGAAGAAAAGTAATAAATCATTAGCAAAGGATCAAAAGAAACACAAATGCCATTTGTGTAAATACGCTACATCATTGAAAGGACATCTCAAAGTACATATCCGAATCCACACTGGCTACAAGCCATTCGAATGCGAAATGTGTGCGAAGACTTTCACAATCAAAGGCAATTTGAATAAACACATGAAAGTCCATGCCACCGAATTCCCATTCCATTGTCCAAAGTGTCGCCGAGGATTCAAACAAGAAGTGGACAAGATCGAGCACAAAAAACAATGCCAACGCCGCCAATACGATTGCATGGAGTGCAAATACATCACTGATAATTTGCAAAATTTTAAGTGTCACGTGCAAATCCACAGCGGCGAAAATCCATTCCAATGCGAAATATGTGCGAAGGCTTTTACAAGTAGAAGTCATTTGAATAGGCACATGAAAGTCCATGCCACCGAATATCCATTCCATTGTCCAAAGTGTCGTCGAGGATTCAAGCAAGAAGTCGATAAGATCGATCACGAAAAACAATGCCAACACCGTCAATTCGAATGCATGGAATGCAAATACATCACTGATCGATTGTCTGATTTTAAGAGACACATGCTAATCCACAGTTGAGAGAAGCCATTCGAATGCGAAATATGTGCGAAGGCTTTTACACGGAGAAGTAATTTGAATAGCCACATGAGAATCCACAGTGGCGAGAAGCCATTCGAATGTCGTGTTTGTTGCAAAAAAATTTCACTCAAAAATTATCTTAACAGACACTTGCGAACTCATGTAAAGCAATTGCCATTTGACTGTTCGAAATGTGGACAACGATTTGCTGACGAAAACGCCAAACAATCACATGAGGATCATTGCAAACGTCGACGATTCTCTCAAAAAGACCACGCTAATCTTCACATGAAGCGTGTTCATCACTAAAAAAAGTGAAATAAATTAAATCGATCATTTCCGTTCAATACAAATGGCTCACAAGCAATCAAATCAAATGTATTCTTCAATTGAACACACCTTTTCTTATTTTAAACCGCTTCCCTTAAAATTTTCCACATTTAAAACGCAATTTGAAAAAAATTATCGTATGAATTAAACTTATTCAAAAACGTTATACATTCAAATAACTGAACTATTTCTATATATTTTTTAATTGCTAATATTAACTTGATCGGTTTGGGATGTGAATAATTCAAAACATAACAATGAAATAAAATGGAAAGTTGAAGACTTTAATAAAACTAAAAGAATTATTATTTCTTTTACTGAACCATTTTTCCTATTCCATTTTTTTTTTGAAATCCCAACTCTAATACCTGTCTACAAATGCTGGTTTTTGTTAAAATGGCTCACTTAAAATGGCCACAAGATTTTTTGCTTGCATGTTGTTCTGCATTTTGCTTTTTCTTCAGAATCATCTTTGATCATTACACCGTTATTCTTTATCTGTGTGACAATATTTGACCTCGATCTGGAGTATGTAGGTGTCGCAAAATCTCCACCCATTTTTTTGCAGATATCACAATATTTTTCATCAAGTCTTATTTGCCACAAAGATGTTGATGTTGTTGCGATGCTATTGTAAATAACATGGTCTATTTTTAGGGGCTTTGATTATTTTCAGGTAAAAACTTCTGATAATTTTTTTCACTCTCATAAATTATATTAGAATTTAACAAGTTTATTGCAGTGTTTTTACTTTTCCGCACTGTATGCTGTAAAGTATTTTTGGAAAAAGGCGGGCTATAAAATATTGTCAACATAGTTATCAGTTAAAGCTGTGATTAAAGCGACAAACTTTGGGCTATTTACCATTGAACTACATTTACTTGGGCAATAGCCATATTTTATAAAGAGAGACTCCAATGTTTACAAAGCTTAAAACATGGTTTAGTGGCCTACTTTGGAAACTATCATAAAAAAGCACATGACGTAAGTAACGATCGCTTCGTTTCCTCTTCGTATGGCTTATCTGCATACTAGGGCGGAACATTTTTTTGAATTTCGAGGCATATCTTGATGGCCACTTGAAAAAACATGTCTTATAGTCCCCAGATTCAAGATATGAAGGAATTTTCAACTTGCGGTTCCATATAAGACAGCGACTTGAAAGGAAAGGAGGTACATTTTACTGGAAAATCATGAAAAATTGCAGTGATCCAATCACCATGAAAACTTGTGAATCTTCTTTTCTGCTCAAAATAAGTAATATCACCAAGTTTGATGAAATTTCAACCAAAAATAAAATGTCTTACATCCGTAAGATGAACTTTTCCGCACTGTGATCCACAACATGCATTTATTACAACTCTTTTACTCAAAGAATTCACGAGAAAACTGAATCTGACATTAGTTTTACGATACAAATAATTTTCGAAGCACTTTTCATACAAAAACTACTAAAAATGGGAATTTTTGTATCGCAGCCATGCCTATATGATATCGTAATCATGTGAAAATTAGCAGAGGTTATTTTTTTCACAAAAAGTTAACATTCTGAAAGTTTGAAGAAAATTTCAATGAATATTAGGGGTACTTTCCATACAAAATATCGTTTTTGAGCGAAAAATCCAAAATTTTGTTCGGGAGATACCCCTAATATGCGTTAAAACGTCTTTAAACTCTCGGAATGGCATTTTTGTGTGATAAAATGTGCATTTTTGTGAATGCAACAAAGACGGGTTATAGTGCCACTTTTTTGGGGAAAAAAATTATCAAACACGTTAGGTGGCGTTAGTTTAAATGTAAATTTCTATGTACATACGGTGGCGCCGCCCTACACCAAAAATTACTGAACTATAGAGTAAGGTACTATTGGAATGCAACATGGAATCAATTTACAAATGTGTTTTTAGTCCAGGAAGTGACATCGGCGACCAATCAACATCAAAAATAAAATCATCTTTTACAGAATTTAGCGCTCTTCAAAATGATAATAGCCACTTTTTAATATTTTTCATGTGGAAACACCCTAATGTCCATGGGCATCACACCAGACATGACACTTCACTCTGTCAACCAAAGTTGCTCAAAATCTAATGGTTTCTATTCTTCGGCACCCCCAATCATCCTGTGAAGTCAGATTTTGAATTACTTTTCTGGTTTGAAAGTTATCGTGTTAACAAATTTTTGCGTACAGGGTACAGGGTACAGGGTACCACGCAAATACATTCGGACATCGAAAAAACGCTGGATTCGTGTTCCCCGGCTCATAAAATACCCAGAAAACATGTTTTTTGAGGGTGTTTATCTTTCGGCCGATTCTAATACTTTACCTTACACACTAGGTGTGTTCGGAAAAGTAATATGTATTTTTGTTCCAGGACTATTGCTGGGTATCCACATCGTGGCGATAATATTCTTGGAACGATGAAAAGCTTGAATGAAGGTAAGAGTTTTTGGGGTTTTGAAAACGTGCTTCAAGAGGTAATCACTTAACATTTCAGTCGCCGATCGTTATGATAACAGAAGTGTTACGATTATTTCATACGCTTATGGTCCACGATTCCTTTAAAAACCATGACTAAAATGGAAATAGAATTAACTTGGATTCGGTTACAATAGGTAAGATAGATTCGCTCAGTTTTTTTACCCTTTCTCAAAATAATGCGTTCTCGTTAAACCACGAGTTTAACGTAGACGAAACAGATTTATTTATATATTTTACTTTTTTCTGGCGTATGAAAACATTGTTTGAATAACATAAAAAAGTAAAAAGTGGTAAAAAGTGATCGAGACTATCTTCAAGCCATAATTTAGAAACAGAGCTTATAAATGAATAAACACAAAGAGCGTAAATTCATTTAGTAGAATGAGAGCGGTTCAGATGAATTTAATTAATTATTTGATCGTGCATTAATTTTTCGCGTACCAAATTTTTGATTTTTTGCTCAACATCAAAAATTTGTATATGGGAGATACCCCTAAGTTCCATTAAAATTCCTTCAAACTCTCGGAAAATTATTTTTTGTGATAAAAACTGACCAAGTTTCACATCATTCCGGTCTCTCTTACAAAAATTCACATTTTTGGTGATTTTTGCAGATATTCATATAGATATCAAACTAACATCAGATTCGGTTTTCTTTTGCCGAAAACTCGCTACGCAGTGTTTTGATTGAAAATAGTAATAGACCAATAATAACTTCAACGAACGAACGACCGATAAAAAAGGAGAAAAAAAAACGCACACGAACGACCGATCACAGTCGGACATTAAGATGCGTAATTCAACTCACGTCCAACTTTTATCATTACTTTATTCGCATCAAATTAAGAAAATAAATAATTTAAATTGATTTTCTGGAATAAATTCCTATTAATAATTAATGTGTTTTTTTCAATGCGATAAGTGTCTTAATGCAATACGCGTGTCACTTCGGCATCATATCCAATGTGATCATTTCCATAATTTTGTTTTTTTTTTGTCTTATTTTTCCGCGCACATCTGGATAAAAAAACGTCATAAAAACTCCGAAGAACGTTATAAACTGTAAGAGGAGAGTATTTTCTTTTAAATCCAAATAAGCGTATTTTATATGCGAATTGCGTAATTTACTTTTCAACGAAGGTTCTGCATAGAAAAACACGGCAAAAATACATGGCTCTTATGGAAACCGTTCATGAACGAAAACACATGTACCACGCGATTAATTATTTATTAAAAGTTAATAATGTCTTATGAATAAACCATACAAATAGCATTATAATCACAAGAATGCCTGATACATAAATTGATATGGCCTATTTGCATGAATTACCCTTCTGGTTGTGGCATATAAATGAAAGTCATTCAGTTACCGTTGTTAGTAAGCATTCAATAGAGTTCCAGTCTAAGTAACATTTGACAAAAAAAAAATCGTGAAAATGTTCACTTTAAAAATTTTCGCCTTGTTATTGCTCGGGCTCGTGATCTGCGGGGTAAATTTCATTAGATTTTTCACAATCAATTATCATAGTTGTTTTCGTTAGATAATTTATCAACTCTTAATTTTATCATATGTTTTTCGATAAAATAAATTTTCTCTTTTTTTCACAGCTTTTTGGCAATGAACCGGTGGTCGAAGGTGGTCTTTGCAGCAGAGATCGTGAAGGTGTGGCCGGTTTTTCATTATGTGGAAAACCTAAACGCGAAGAATCTGCAGAATCACAAAGTTTGGTGAAAACCAATATTGCATACTATGAATCAAAAGCTCAAGAAGAAGCAAAAGCTGCTGGAAAGCATGCAAAGGCTGGAATTCAAAAGAAATAATTTCTTCACAAAGCATTAAAAGTTATTTATTGTTGTAAACCAGGCTCTATTCTGATTCATCACCATATTCGATATGATTGATTTGTTTATTTTGTTTCACTTCATTTATTTGAACCAAGAAAATTAATTTCAATAAATATATCTTCTTTGCAAATGTAATTTTTGGCCATTTTTATTAGACTTGGGTTTCAGTATGAGCAGCAAAACCCTTTAACGTAAACCATCTTTTTTGGTCAGAGGTCCCATGGGTCCAATTATCAAAGCCTCATATGTACCGGACTGCTTTCCAATGTCTGCTTCAAGAAAGTATACAAGTTACCAAAATACTGTGTTTAATTACATATTTTCGGGACATTAAGCATCAGGAAAAATTAATATTGTATTGAAGAAATGTCACTTTGTGCATTGCGGAATGATGTTCTGACGTACTGTAGTCAAGCTTTGTAGTTCTCTTTCTCTTTTTATGTATTCAAAATCAAATGCCAAGTTCAATTGGAATCCATTATGATCAAAGCATTTATTAGCACGGTAAAAAGGTAAGGATCATCCATCCGCCAATCAAAAAACTAAATTTTGAGAGCTAAAAAAAGGAATTCATTTTCTTGTAGAAAAACCGTAGCAAATCGGACAAATACTCGCCGCCTGGGGAGTGTATCTCGGACGATTTAAGGGGTTT